GATACTGGCCAAGCATTTTGATCGGTACCAAGCCATTTATCATTACCGTTATCATACTTTCCATTAACCTTTAAAGCAATGCGTTTCCATCCACATGGTCTTTTATATAGTATATCTCCCCGCATAAATGTCACACCCATATCATTAATATTTGTAAAATCGTAGTCGTAACGCGGGTTTAAAACACTCATACTTAAGTAACTAATTATAACTCCACCTCCACGCAAACGTAAAACCAGGTGCACTGTACTTTCTTTTTGAATATTGTAGTCGGAAAGCGTTTTGTTATCCTCCAATTGCTTCCCAGCAAAAATTAATTTTTGCTGATCCGGTGGAGTGCCATTCTTACCATAAATTTTCAACTTAATAGATTCAATGGCTTCATTTCTTTTACATTCTAGTGTTATGGTTCTACCAGTGAGCGTCTTAACAAAAATTTGTCCTAGATAAGAACCAGATTGATCAAATGTGCACCGACGGTTAAAATCAGTATCCAAGTTACTGACAATATTTGGATCATTGCCAACAAGATTGACTTGATGAAACGAGTTCAAGTCAACCTGATTATATATTGCGTCATTAGCTTCACCACGGGCTTGTCTATCTTGAAATTCTTTTCCAGATATGAACTTGTGGGTTCCCATTACGGCCGAGAAAGCAGCGTTAATAAGGTCAATATTACTTGAATTTGCCATAGTTAACGAATTTACTGATAATTTTTCTTGAATCGTCAAAATTAACAGGTTAAACAAGTCTACATAGCTAGAGTTAGAAAAGTCCTTATTTTATATCGCTTTTCCATATAGAATATCCTACGGAATTAAATTTCCGATACTTTGTTTAATGCCAACAGGAAAACAGGTGAGACAGTCCCAAATTAGGAATCATCGGAAGATCGTTGCAATTCTGGTCCACCCAAAATGAATTTGGTGTATTGTGAAATTGATGAAACGGAATTGGTGAAATTCATTTATTAATAAGTAGCTGCGCAAGGTTGTCGCGCGAAACCAGGAACGGGAGAAATCTACACAGACATCATTTCAGTCATATTCTTCATTGCAATCCATTCCTGGTATAAGAAAATGACTCTTTATAAAAGAAGTTGCAATCTGAATATTGGATTGAATTTCAGCAGTTCCGATGAATCTGACCCAAAATTCTGGGGCCTTGCAAAAAACATTAAAAATCTACGAGACGAAAGTCCTTATGTCAAGGAAATTCCGAGCTGCCGGCCAAAAAAATATGGGTTATAGTATCTCAAAAATTCACTATATATCTAACATTAACAATTGTGTCTTATAAGTAAAATTTCATTCTGAAACTTTTACTTAGAGGTCGGAAGTTAGTTATCATAGTAAATTTTTGTGTTATTTACGTTTTTTTTTACAATTTCTT